GAATGACTGTTTTTTCTATTTTGTTGTTGTTGTTTAATTTTCTTTTATTATGGTTTTGTGCTTTACCAAACTCTTTTCCATCCTTTTCTTCTTCTTTTCTTTCTGCATTTCTTCATTGTATGATGCCTTCTCTATATTTCATGGGAAGGAGCACAAACAGTCTGATAGATACATTAAACAGTATTCGTGAAGTAAACACACTATATCTTTACAAAAAAACACGTATAAGGTGATTAAACTTTGCTTGGTTCGTTTACACACACTTACACTTACACATCTATATATATATATATATAGTACAAATAAAGAAAAAAGAGAAAAAAAAGTGCTCAAGAAAGCAAAGTTAGTAGAGAGAGAAAATTCAAATTACGACAAAAGAAGAAGAAGAAAAAGAAACGTGTGAGTACATTTCAAAGAAAAAAGGGTCATTCTGCATCTCCAATTCCCCATTTTCCTTTAAAAGGAAAAAGAGAAAGAAAAAGAAAAAGAGATTAAGGAAAAAAAAAAAAAAAAACAAATTGACTGCCAATGAATGCATCAGATGATGATAAGACCGAGGCACACTCCGTTAGAAATGATGAGAGTGGTAGTTGTGTGGGCTCCTCCGCGGAGGACTCGGCAGGCGCCGCCGCCGCCCTTTCATCTTCCCGTTCGAATTGTATGGAAGGGGATTATGAAAACGAAGAAGATTTTGAAAGTAGTGGTTTAAGAAAAGAAACCGATACGCCTGGGTATGGAAAGGAAATCATATCCTCTGAACACGGTTCCCCAGAGTCTAAAGAAGGCGGTGGACGTCTGCATACGACGGTGAGTAGTGATCCTCACGCAGAGAATGCACAGCCACCACCTTCTGTGGGTTTGGTAAATGAGGGTTGTACATGTTATTTAAATTCACTTTTACAACTCTTATTTCATCTTAGTTATTTTCGTAATGCTGTCTACCGTATGCCAGTGGAAGAAGGGGAGGGTGATAAGGAGAGTATTCCACAGGCATTGCAGGAACTTTTCTTTCAAATGCAAGAACGAGATACACCAGCACATACAAAAAAACTAACATCTGCATTTGGATGGGGTGAAAGAGAATTATTTGTTCAGCATGATATTCAGGAAATGGCAACCCTGCTGCGGGATAATCTTGAAGAGAGAATGAAGGGAACTGTGGCAGAAGGCACTATTAATCAACTCTTTCAAGGTAGTGGTAAACAAATAGTAGCAACACTTGATCGAACGTTTGTATCCCCTAGTCATGATACCTTTTACGATATTCATCTTCCATTGGGATCTAATAATACTCTTATAGATAGTTTGCGATCTCTTACGGCTAAGGAATTACTGATTGGGGATAATAAATACCGTGTGGAAGAGCCAGGGAAAGAACCAGAATATAAAGATGCAGAGAAGAGTTACAGATTTTGTCGTTTTCCACCTGTGATATGGTTTCATCTGAAGCGATTTGAGATGAATTTAATGTCACCTTCACTTGAGATGAAAAAAGTTAACAACCGTTTGGAGTTCCCGGTTGAGCTTTCCTTAGAGGAATTTGAAAAAGGTGACAGTAGTTGCAGTGGAAGTACAAGTAGTGATAATGATGATGATGATGGTAATGATAGTAGTGATAGTAGTGATAGTGATAGTGATAGTGATAGTAGTAATGTTAATAGTACTGAGGGTGGAGATGTTGACAGTAAAGATAATGAAGAAGAAGAGGATGAGGAGAAGGGTGAAGTAGAGAGAGCTGAGGAAGATACACAACAAGAGCAGAGAGAGAAGCAAAAAGGTAAAAAACAAAGCAAGAGAAAATATGAGACAAGGGATGAAGAGGGAGAAGAAGAAGAAGAAGAACAACAACAACAACAACGAAAAGAAAAGAAGAAGAAGAATAAAAAGAATGAAAAAAAGAAAAATAAAAATACCAAAGGAGTAGAGCAACCATTCAGCAAAGACTCACCTCCTATTTATGATCTACAAGGTGTTATTGTACACCGTGGCTCTGTTCGAAGTGGACATTATTATTGTTACATCCGTGAGTGGGATCCCGTACAGGCCCGATTTACCCGTTGGATTGAGTTTGATGATGAGAGAGTACGAGTGGTGGATGAGGAAACGGCAGTTAGTAATAACTTTGGCGGTCCAGTCATTCGCCATGGACGACCGTGTAATCCTTTAAGCACAAATAATGCTTATATATTATCTTATGTACGGCGAGCCGATTGTCCAAAGGTGTTGGCTCCCTCACCAACAGATATCATTCCACAACGTGTAAAAGATGTGTTTCGTCGTGATATGTTAGAAGATGATCGTCGTGAACAGGAAGAGAGAGAACGTCGTCGTAAGTTAACCATCTTTATCATCACAGATGAGATTATTCGTGAATGTGTTAATATATATCAAAGAGAAACTATGCCACGAGATGCACGGGTATCTTTACTGGAAAGTATTGCAATAGAAGTACAGAAATCTGATACCGTACGTCATGTTTATGCTACTATTGCTTCTCATGGAAAATTACATACACTAAGTATGAATCCACTTAATTTTAGACTCTGGCGTTTATTATCTAATCGCAATATTCATTACTTAAGAGCACTTAATATTTCTATTGCTGGTACGGAGAGAGTAATGCAGGACTATCTTGATAATGCTGGAGAGGAACATAGTACTATGACTTCTCTCTACATTTACTTGCAGCAACCCACTACTCTACAATTGGTTCCTTCTTCAGATATCCGACAAATTCCAAGAGAAAGAGAATTTGTAGATACAGTGTCTGATTTTCCATATGCAGTATTTTTACCAACTCCAATACAACTTGAAGCAGTAACGATTTACTTTGAATGTTATGCCCATTCATCTGTTATGATGGTTATAAGTATTTCTCTTTACGATGTGGATGGTAATAGAATCAACTATGAGGATCAGGGTCCCCTTTCTGAAAGTAAAACATTCAGAGTAAACTCAGAATCTAGATCTATACGAGGTGTGGAATGTAGTGTGAAAGTCCCTCATCGGGCAGCGAGAGTGGTGATTACGCATGTACAGATAGGTGTTTCTAATTCTACTCTTTCTAGTCAACGAACAAGACCACGATTAGGGGAATCCGTGTTACCAATAGCCGCTTTAGGTCGTGTACTCGTTTTCTTTAAATATTTTAATTACAATACGTGCCGTTTGGTATACGCAGGTTCAGCTGTTGTGTCTCTGGCCGCTACGGTTAAGGAATGTGGAAGAGCCCTTCTTCAATTACTCGGTGAAGGTGATATGTCATCAGCATCGCTTGATATGTATAAAGAAGAGTCTATAAATACCCGCTTACTACAAGCGAATGTCTCACTTATGACAGTTGGCATAGAGTCTGGCAGTATTTTAATAGCACAACGTAATGATGTACCTTTAATATCTCGTTTCCGAACTGTCAATAGTTATATTAATGGTTTTTCTCGCATATTTCCTGTATATTTTATACATATTGACTTTTCTGAAACAGAGACAACATCTGGAATGGATAAACGTGATACGAACTTGAATAACGCTATGCTTCCAGTTTCTTCTTCTTCTCCTCTTTCTAGTGGAGGAGGAGGAAAAGGAGTAAGTGATGGTATTTCTACTGGGAGGTTTTCCAATCGTAGTGATAGTAACATGTTAAGAGATTCTTCTTGTGTTGTGGAAGTAGTTCATTCTTCTACTAATGTAGAGAATGAATCCTTTCATACATATTTTTATCCTGAACGGTGTTTTCGCACCGTAATGACGTACAGAGAGAAAAGAGATGTTCATTGGAGGTATGAAGAAATTTGTGATTATATTGGAAATGCGAGTGGATTTGACCCTAATTTCATTCGTTTATATCGTAACAGTGTGGACAGTATAGAGCGAGCCGTACCTGAACCAGATCCAGCACCGAGTGTATCATCCTTTGCAGATCCCATTAGAGATCCACGCAATAAAGTCTTATTCTTTGAAGTATTACGTGAACCACGACGAATTGTAGATTCTCGACTATGTGTTATTATAACAGTGCGATCAGAAAAAGATGAGCCTCTTTACACAGAGAGAATTATTGTGCGGGAGAATGCCATGTATGGGGAATTGGTGCAAGGAACTCTGGAACGCTGCACGGAAGCCTTACGTCGTGCGGCAGCGGTAAAAAGAAAGAAGAATATCTCTGAATCATCAGGAAAGAATAACAACGATAATAACGATAAGGATAAGAACGCTACTAACACTTCTTCTCAACCGTCTGAGTTTACTGTTGGTGAACATTATTTGCTGCTTGTGATGGATATCTGTGCGGGTGTGATCAAGGAGATTATTGAAATCCCGCGTGGGGCAGATGGTCGGTGGGAGTGTCATCGTGTCGTGGGCAGTCTTAGTGGCCGCTACAGTGGCAGCCATATCCCACACACGACGCCTCTCAGTGAATCCAATAGTCATGCGAACAGTGTTGGGGCCGCAAGAGGCCGACACCTGCTCTCCGCATCTTCCTTATCGCATCCATCATCACTATCACTATCATCCTCCCATGCCCATCTTTACAGTGTGGGGGCGGGTGGGGGGCCGTTGTCGCTGGTGTTGGTGCCGGCCGCCCCGCTGGGGGACGCGGAGTGGCGCCTCGCCTGCGGGCACGCGGAGTGGCACGCCGGCACCCACGGCGGAGCCCCGCTGCTCTTCGCCCAGCCGTTCGCCGTCACGCTGCACGTCCACGACTCCGTCGCGCGGGCCCGCGAGGTTCTCCTCCAACACACCGGCGTGCCGCCAGCGGAGGTGGAGGCCGGCGGCTGCGGCGTCATCATGTACACAGACACCATCTGGCACTTCTCCAACTGGAACGAGCAGCTGCTGCCGTACTGGAAGAACACAGAGTGCAACACCGGCCGCATCCCAACACTCTTGCTGAACCACAGGCGGCCAAAGGAGAAGCCGGGCTCACGGTATGTCGCACAGAATAACCCAGCTCTCTCTATTTCAAAGAGATGAACACTACACACACACACA